AGAGGGACTACAAATCTCAGCACATTATATAGCAATGCAGATTAATACCATCAGCTATAGAGGACTACAATTCCCAGCAATACATTATACAGCAATGCAAAACAATACCAATAGCTCTAGAGGACTTTAAATCCCAGTGATACATTATACAGCAAGGCAGAATGGCACCTGCTATAGAGAACTACAAATCCCAGTAATACATTATACAGCAATGTAGAATAATACTTTCAGCTATAAACGACTACAAATCCCAGCAATACATTATACAGCAGTGCAGAATAATAGTATATCAATTTGCTACATACTCTTTGCTGCTGCTCTGCTTCGGGGTGTCAGCCTGATGTTTTGGTTAGAGGGTCTCAGGAGGGGTGTGGAGGTCTCAGAAGGTGTGGGGAGGGTCTCAGCAGGGGGAGATGTGCGGGCGGCAGAAGAGCTGTAAGCAGTCACTATGTGGTTCCCCAGAAGGCTGCTGCGTGGTCCCCAGCAAACGCAGGTTTCAGTGGTGTCATGCAGAGTGCAGAAGTCAGTGTTGTAACACAGAGTGTAGAGGTTAGTGGTGTCATCTAGAGGTCACCAATGTAATGCACAGTGCAGTGGTCAGAAGTGTAATGCACAGTACAGTCATTGGTGTGATGCACAGTGCAGAGGCTAGCAGTGTTACGCAGAGTGTAATGGTCAGTGGTGTAACGCAAAGTGCAGAGGATAGCACTGTAATACAGAGGTCAATGGTATAACGCACATTACAGAGTTCAGCAGTGTGATGCATAGTACAGAGGCCAGCGGTGTAATGCAGAGTACAGAGGTCAGTGGTATGATGCACAATAAAGAGGTCAGCAAAAACGCACAGTACAGAGCTCAGCAGTGTAATGAACAGTGCAGAGGTCAGTGGTGTAATGTAGAGGTCAGTATGTACGCAGTGCAGAGATCAGAGGTGTAATGTAGAGGTCAGTATGTAACACAGTGCAGAGGACAGCAGTGAAATGTAGAGGTCAGTATGTACGTAGTGGAGAGGTCAGCGGTGTAATTTAGATGGTCAACGGTGTAATGTAGAGGTCAGTATGTACGCAGTGCAGAGGTCAGCAGTGTAATGTAGAGGTCAGCGGTGTAATAAAGAGGTCAGTATGTAATGCAGTGCAGAGGACAGCGGTGTAATATAGAGATCAGAGGTCACTATGTACGCAGCGCAGAGGTTATCGTTATAATATAGAGGTCGGTCGGTATGTACGCAGTGCAGAGGCCAGTGGTGTAATGTAGAGGTCAGTGTGTAACGCAGCACAGAGGTCAGCAGTGTAATGTAGAGGTCAGAGCTCAGTATGTACACAGTGCAGAGGTCAGCTGTGTAATGTAGAGGTCAGAATGTACGCAGTGCAGAGGCCAGCGGTGTAATGTAGAGGTCAGAGATCAGTATGTACGCAGTGCAGAGGCCAGCAGTATAATGTAGAGGTCAGAGCTCAGTATGTAATGCAGTGCAGAGGTCAGCGGGGAAATGTAGAGGTCAGCGGTCAGTATGTACGCAGTGCAGAGGTCAGCGGTGTAATGTAGAGGTCATTATGTACGCAGTGCAGAGGCCAGCAGTGTAATGTAGAGGTCAGAGGTCAGTATGTAATGCAGTGCAGAGGGCAGCTGTGTAATGTAGAGGTCAGTATTTACGCAGTGCAGAGGTCAGCGGTGTAATGTAGAGGTCAGTATGTACGCAGTGCAGAGGCCAGCGGTATAATGTAGAGGTCAGAGGTCACTATGTAATGCAGTGCAGAGGTCAGCGGGGAAATGTAGAGGTCAGCGGTCAGTATGTATGCAGTGCAGGGGCCAGCGGGGTAATGTAGAGGTCAGCGGTCAGTATGTATGCAGTGCAGAGGCCAGCAGTGTAATGTAGAGGTCAGAGGTCAGTATGTAATGCTGTGCAGAAGTCAGCTGTGTAATGTAGAGATCAGTATTTACGCAGTGCAGAGGTCAGCAGTGTAATGTAGAGGTCAGCGGTCAGTATGTATGCAGTGCAAAGGCCAGCGGGGGAATGTAGAGGTCAGTGGTCAGTATGTATGCAGTGCAGGGGCCAGCGGTGTAATGTAGAGGTCAGAGGTCAGTATGTATGCAGTGCAGAGGCCAGCGGGGGAATGTAGAGGTCAGCGGTCAGTATGTATGCAGTGCAGGGGCCAGCGGTGTAATGTAGAGGTCAGCGGTCATTGTGTACGCAGTGCAGTGGTCACGCAGAAAGAACAGGCACTTACAGTGGTACTTTTCCTTCGTTCTTCAGGTGCTGTGCCCTTTTCTCTTCCTCTCCTGGTGGTGGGGGGAGGGGGGAGCAGCGAAGTTGCCTGCATCTTCTGAGGCGATGCCTTCAGCTGCCTCGTGGTGTCTCCTGCTCAGTGCCTTTTGGTCCCATGCATAACTATGCTGCCAGCCAATCGTGTGCAGTCTCCCTCCCAGCCTATAGCAGCAGTAAAAATGGCCCCCGCCGGCGCCGCTGCAGCGACAATCACTCCTTTTATCTCTCCACTTTCGGCCGCTGCAGCAGAGCGGCCAAGAAGGGAGAGTTAAAAAAGAGCGATTACCGCTGCAGTGGCGCCGGCGGGGGCCATTTTTAAAGGCATCAGAGAGGCCCGGGGGGCAATTGCCACCCTGCCCCCCGGCCTAGTCCGCCCCTGACCCTCTTAGACTAGGTGAGACTGTATCTGATTTTTCTGGTCAAACACCTTCTGTTGGTATCAGATGTTCTTACGGGTTCTAGCTTTCCCTACTCAACTAAATTCATGTCTGTGTTGCTGTAGAATGTTCTATATAATATGACTGATCTCTAGGAATTCTATCCCCTGGGCAAGACACCAGACAGACCATCACAGATTGCTAAGAGCTCTTAGCAACCGGGGACGCTGTGGCCACCCCCTGCCACCCCCAATAGAATGCAGACTGAGGCAACTGCCTCATTATAGGAACGGCCCTGTTTAAAACCTAAAGTTCTGCCAGCAAACATGTAGCAGAGAGGGTCTGCTATTATCGGTAGACATGTGCGATTCGTTTCTTTCCGAATCGAAATTCGGACGAAATTTCGGAAATTCGTAGATTCGGAGAATCCGAATTTCCGAAATATAACATATCCGAAAGCATCCGAATCCGAAATTTCGTCCAAATCCTGTGAGTTCACTGTTAACATTTAAACGGATAAAAACAAATTAAAAAAAGGATTTTAATGTCCCGAATACAAATCCGATCCCCGAAATGAAACACACATAGGATCCGAATTCCAAAAACGAAATAAACGAAATCCAAAACAAAACAAATTTTTAGCCGCTGCACATGTCTAATTATTGGAGCACCAAATCAGTGTCTTTGGCGTGGTCATAAAAATTTGTCAACTGAATGACCGTATCCTGGTTATAGGTAAGTACTTTGGCACTTTTATTATCATGTTTAATTGGTGGGCTGCAAAAGTGTTAATGTAAATAGAGTATTTTTAAGCATTAGTTCTACATTTAAGATGCTGCTAGTTGAGATGATGCATTATGTTGGGGGAGGGGAGAAGGCACCTTAGAATTGAAATCCTCATTCATAAAAGCAAACTAAGATAGAGACTTGCCCCGAGGAGTGTTTCTGGCTAACAAAGGCAGAATGCACCTTGTGATGCCTACTCTTAGGTATGACTTACTTTTATAAGTTTAAAATGTTTGACCGGCTTTCTTTAAAGGAGGAAGAGGGATGACAAGCCCCTGTGTGATAGCATTTGGAGGTGACAGGTTCTCTTTAATGAATCTGTCAACTCCAATACAGGAGTTTGAGCACAGCACTGTGCTGGCTCTCCTGTGGCAGCTGAGATGGGAAGGCTGCGAGTGTAGCTCTCCTGTCCCAGTGTTCACACGGAGCACAGCAGAGAACAAATTTTCTCTGCTCTGCTCCCCGCTTTCCATCCTGAAGAGAGGGTCTCCATCTCCGGAGACAGGCAGCCAGCGAGGAGAGAGGTAGCCAGTGAGGCGAGAGGTAGACAGCAGGGAGAGAGGTAGGTGGGTGGATGGACTGATCTGCAGGCTGCATACAAGTTATGTTGGTGACATCGCCGGGATCCCTTGTACAGAACAAACTTCCCCTCTCTACATATAGCTCTGTTTCCCCAAAACAGGGCTAAATGTAGAAGACAACTACCCACTCGACATCCGGAACAGCATGTCCTGGGATTCAGGAGATAGGAATTCCACAAACCTGCCGCCCTCCTACTCTTTGCCGCCCCAAGGCTGGGCCTCTGTGGCCTGGTGGGAATTCTGGCCCTGGATGTGGTACATACTTCAATAAACTATCCCAGTGGAATCTGATGTGCGGCCAGCTTTTCTTCCGTTTGTACGGGCTCATATTGGCACAAGGACCTGCTCCCAGCAGCAGGCGCCCAGCTCATTCCTTCCCTGAGCCGTGGAGAATTGGTGCTTCTTTTGTCTGTTCTCCTAGCCCTCAACACCTAACATACAGCTTTAATGACAATTTACACACCCAGTACCTGTGTTAATTATCTGCTTCAACATGTAAAAAATATATCTGATGTTAGGTCTGCTATAATCACAACTCGTTTAGTCCAACGTAAGCCAGACTGAAACCTTTTACTTTGTTTTAAATGTGCAGTACACATTTCTTTACACATAATAATTTCCTAAAAAAATTAAAAAGACTGACGAGCTTGTGTAGTTTCATGTGTGCAGGAGAATTGATCAAAACTGGAGCAAGCAAAATCTGGAGCAGCTGTGCATGGCAACCAATCAGCTTCTCTCAGTTTGTTCAGTTAAGATTTGAAAATGAGAGAGAGAGAAGCTGATTGGTTCCCATGCACAACTGCTCATGATTTTGTCGGCTTCAGGTTTGATAAATACCCTCACTGTATGAGCGTGATACGCAATGAAATCACATGCACTGTATCTAATATGACAGCAGAGGGCGCTATTTCCGACATTAACCCTTAGCTACACTTTATACCTCCTACCACCAGAAGGAGCAGTTCTCCGTCTCTCTATTCCCTCATAGACATCTTGTCTTGCCTCCTCTCGGCTCCCCCTCTTTCAGCCATTTCCTGCTCTCTCCGGCGGTGTGTTCTCGTAGCATTCCGCGGGGAAATTTTTTTACGCTTCCCTGGTCTTTAGATCAGCGGCAGCTTCACCGGCATAATGGTGAGTCATTGGGGGCTGTGGGGTGGGTGTATGACCCGATTCACCGGGGATTTGCATGGCGTGCTCTGCATGTGACAGTTCATTCACTCTCAGGAGGGAAATGGCACAACAGAGCGCTGCTGAATGACAATGCACATGGCATGGGGGACTCTAATAACACGGCTACGGGTTATACATACACATCCAGCCATCTGTACATAGACCCTACCGCATTCTATTTACAATGGGTATGTTATGGATTTGTGAAAGGCATTTTTTATCAGAGTAATGATAAGGTTTAGCCCCCATTCACACCTATGCGTATTGTAATATGCGCGTCTGTCGCACGGTTTTTTTTACCGCGATCCTAAAGGCTACTTGGCAGTATACAAATGGAAAACGCCCTACAAAACGGACCAATACACAGCAAAAAACGCTCCGGGACTTTTTCATGCGTGGGCCGTTTTGTAGTGCGTTCGGGACGGGCGGAAATACGGACAGGTGGGAACGATACCATTGACTACAATGCTATTTATTTTTTTGACCGTTTTGTAGAGCGTTCATCGAGCGTAGGACGGGCTACAAAACGGTCAGGTGTGAATGGGGCCTTAATTTCTTAGATTATTAGGGCAATTTGTCGAAACTGGACCAGACGCAATCTGTAGCAGTTGCCCATAGTAACCAATCAGTCTCTCGCTTCAATTTGTTCAGTTAAGCTTTGAAAATTAAAGACAGAAGCTGATTGGTTACTATGGGTAACTGCTACAGATTGTGCCTGCTCCGGCTTTGGTAAATCCAGCATTTCTCAACCATTTTTTAGTCACTGCATTGTTTAAAAATATGCAATATCTCAAGGCACCCCAGTATAAAATGTAGAAATTGATGTGTGGTTACCCCTCTCCCCCCAAAATCCATACCAGACCCTTATCCTAGAGCGGGGTCAAAAAAGCCTGTAAATGAGTAATATTTATAGCCACAAAGAATAGCCACAGTGTTCACAGGTATTTTTTTTTTTTTTTGACAGAATAGACTCTGTCTCTTCTGGCATAATTGCTCATCCCTGCATGTCAGTATGTGTGTGTACTGAGCCGCGCATGCGCAATTCAGTGCACAGGCTCGGCAAGGCCTATTTAAATAGAACTACATAATTTTAAAAAAGAACACTTTGTGTGTAGCAAATGCCTTTGCAAACCAAGATATTACCTTGTAAAGCAGTGACACTATCACTGTGCTGTATATAAACAGTCTAGGGAGCAAAGCTGTGGGAGGGACCCAGCAGGCTCCACCCAATACAGGCTGCCTGTAAAAACTAAAGGAGGGGGTGGACTCAAGACCAGTCACAAGGAGAGCAGCAGTGACTGGTCTTTATTACAGGAAGTTCCAGGCAAACATTCACACTGAATTCCTGCACAGATCTGGAAAAAAAACATTATTTGGCATTGAGTACAAATATTTTATTTTTTGGGGGCTACTCGCCAATACTTATAAGGAAGTCCCATTAAGGAAGCTGAGCGGCATGTAATGACTTGCCACCCGGCTTCCTGATTAGCCGGGTAGCCGTCACCAGGTGACGAGGAAGCATGTAGTCGGCTTTCTGGTCAATCAGGAAGCCGGGGCAGGTAATTGCTTGTCACCCGTTTCCTGATTGGCCAGCTTACCGACCAATCAGAAAGCTGGGCAGTGAGTCATTACACGCTGGCCGGCTTCCTGATTGGCCGGGAAGCCTGCTCCCTCGTCATGAGGCCCTTGGCTTCCTCATTGGCCAGGAAGCCAGGTTCATGCTCCCTCGTGACAAGGGAGCATGGCGTCAGCTTCCCGGCCAATCATTTAGCTGGGCAGCATGTAATGACCCGCCGTCCAGCTTCCTGATACCGGAAGTTCCAGGATTGGGATAGGTATCAGAAGCATTTGGGCGCCCAAATACTCGGTATCAGCACGGATACTAGTATCGGTGCATCCCTAAAATACACCAAGCACAGCAAGTAACAATACACACGTCTCTTGTATTTAGACTATTTGCTTATGGTGTAGTTTGGCTATAATTATATGAATAGGACACTCTGAGCGGCATACAATGCAAAGAAGTCACATGTAGCTGGCTGCCCATGCTGGAACTAGACACAACAATTCTCAGCTATGAGAGCAATTACAATGTGATTACGGCATAGGATAGCTAAAATCATATACACATTCTACCTGTGTGCATGCATCATTGCATCGTTTCTAAAGATGCCAATGTTCTCACAAGTTCATATTTTTTGCTTCCTAGAGTTTGCCATTAAACCCCAAACCATTCCTTAATGGCCTTACTGGTAAGCCAGTAATGGTGAAACTGAAGTGGGGTATGGAATACAAGGGATACCTGGTCTCTGTGGATGGCTACATGAACATGCAGGTAATACATTTTCTAGTAAATGATGTACTCTGCCAAATATGGTATATAACCGCAGGTAGGTTAATTGGCTCCGGTCTAAATTGGCCCTGTATTTATGTGAGATGGGGACCTTGGATTGCAAGCTCCTCGAGGGCAGGGACTGACATGAATGTGCACAGTGCTGTGTAAAAATTGTTGGCCTTATATAAATACCAATAATAAATAAAAGTAAAATAGCCGATTGCAAAATTGTAGTGCTTTTTCCCCCATCTGGGATGCAATTTATATAAATCTGTTTTCTAAAAATGTTAACTTTCCCCATGCTATCTAAAACATGAAGCAGAACTAAACCCACCAATTTTAATGTATCCCAAAAGAAAGCTGAAGAAATGTTCACTAAATCTTATTAAATCCTTCATCGAACATACCAATGTTTACAATGACTAGCGCATTTGCTGTGAATGTTAAATTTAAGGCATGCCTCTGGTGATAGTGGTCAGGTGTGCTGCCCCATGGCAACTGCTGATCGAAATAGAGCCAAGATGTCAAAAGGATAGGAAGGTTTTGTACAGCTTTAGATAAAGGTTGGCTGTAGTTCCGTAGTAGGGATATCTGCGGTGGGCTACATGAGATATACCTAGTCAATAATACAAAACATAACCTAAATATGAGGGATGCTCATTACTGTTTACACACTGATTAGAATAAGACAAAGTCACATGTTACTTGTCATTGTACCAAACTAATAGTATTTTCATTTACATCAATCTGTGGTGTCTCTTTCCACAAATTGAAATCCTCTATTCTAGCTGAATTATAGTTTGTTACAGCTTTTTATTCCTATTTTGCTATAGAGCTCTACCTCCAGTTTGATTTTTCTCCCCATTAACTGAGTTGGATTATAAATAGGTATAACATCTGAGTTTACAGGGTAAAAGGAGTGCTGCGTTTGTGTACATGGTGTCTGAATGCTCTCCAGCACTCGGGACTCAGCAGCTGTCTTTCAGTGTTTTACCCTGCTGTGTTCTCCAGGGTATGCGGTTAGTCAGTAATGGGGGGAAACGGGAGGAGGGTCCATTCAGAACTACTGACTGTAATCCTTATTTCTGGGTGTTGGCAGAGAAACCAATTCATGGCTTTCCTTACACTGTAATAAATGGCATTAGTTTTTTAATATCCTGGTACAGAGCATTACCACTATTGTCTTATGTGTTACATTCAGTTGGGCATTGCCTAGCAACAAACGTAATGTTTATACAGTAACACATAAAGGAACTTGATTTAGGCTGAGCTTGGGTGGAAATATTAAAGCTTGTCAGTGTTTTGCAGATGTTGCTTTGAATCAGAAAGTTAAATGTGATCTGTTCAGTACCTGCAATGAAAAGCTGACATATGAGCATGCTCTTTCATAAGGCACTTCAATTCTGACCAAACATAGCGAGTGCAAGAAGCACAATCTTACATGTTGGCTAATACATTTGTGTGCACAGTTAACTCTTCTTTACATTGTAGCTCGCCAATACAGAAGAATATATTGATGGAGCATTGTCTGGACATCTTGGAGAAGTTTTAATAAGGCAAGTATCCTACTTCATTATGCCATTGATGTAGTATAAAAACAGATGCCACATTATTTTTGTATTAAAGCCTAATTCCAGCTAAAACACTTTTTTTAATTGTGGTGTAAGTGGGAAAATGTTAGAACCTCTGTCAGGTTTTTAAGGCTGTCTTTTTTTCTGCCATTCCTTAAATACAATCCCCCTAGAAAATAGATTTTTGCCTCACTTCCTGTTCTGGCTTCCATCACCTGGATAGGAAGTGAGGGGACATTTTTCCTAATAGGGACACAGCCCTAACATTCTTGGCAGAGATTCTAACCTTTCCTCAAGCTAATATAAAAGTTTTGCATGAAGTTGAACTTTTGATCTTCAGTTTTTGCTCTAAATTGACATACTGTAGTAAGTATAGGTAGAGAGAGGGGGACAGCATAACAGTATGAAATATTCGCTATAATGGTATGAAAAGGGCTCATATGACTTTAGCGTTATGTTTGGTTAGAATATCTAGGAATATCCCAAAGTCATGCTAGTTGTTGCTATACCCTTTAAATCTTCTCTCTAGCCATTTAGTCCGGAGAAGTTTATTCATTTTTGCACACATGTTTAACTCTGAATTTTCAGCTAGAAAACAGCTTAACCCACCACCACACATTTTATATATTTTTTTGAAACCGAAGCCCTGTAGAATATAATATAGTAGCAATTTTGTATGTTGTACATTATTTGCACAAATGTTTATCAAATCAATATTTTTTAGGAAAAAATACATGAAAATTAATTTTAATGCACACAAATGGAATATAATTACCAAAAATTAGGTTGTCAGGTAAATAGATTTTTCAATGCTTAAAATTGCTTATGCCCCTGAAATGGCTGAAACTACAGTGCTAAAAAATGCCCATAGACGACACTTCAAAATTTTGAATTAACCGTGGGCGATGGCACTAAAATTATGTGCAATTTATGGCGCAATTGTTTTCACATGTAGGCACACCCAACTCATGTTTTCTTTTGTATATGCCTGTACATGAGGTGGAGGGCTTTTAAAAAGTTTTTTTTTTATATATATATATATATGTTGCTATAGTCTTT